TGATAGCAGACCTTGACTGTCGTAATCTAATAACATAGGAGAAGTCAAATTCTGCCCCTTCATATAGAATTGAATTTGATCTGTCATTATCACTGCACCTATTATTAACTTTTTGTCAACTTATTTTATTATCAATCTTATTCAATGAAATGTATAAGAATATAACGTATATAAATGTCAAGCCTACGAAGGTGGTCTAAGGGAAGGAGTTATGAGTACAGTAAAGTATGAGTAAAGTTCCACTAAAAGACACACACATCCACACACAGAAATATCTGCAAACCATCAGAAACACTTAACGAATAATGTAAAGTAGGACATATGAGTTGTGGTAGCGTAACGAATCGAATTTCAGTACATACGAAACGGTAAAGAGCCAAAATTTGTGGTGAACTCAAGCAGCAAAACCTGGGTTCCTGGTCGGAAGACTCCCAATTCTCTGCGTGGAAGTGAGCAGTTTCCCTTCATGACAAACAGGATCATATTATAAAAATTTGTCGAAATAGTCAAGTGTTCGAGAGTAATTGTCGATTTTATTTTGAGCATTTTCTTCAACGAACGATTAGGTTGAATAGCTTGACTAACGGTTCATTTGAATCAAAATAGGGAATATCGTGGGAAACGGTGATTGTGTTATCACAAGCTGATGAAATGTATGAATTCTCAATCATGCTGCTGATAGACTCGAAAAATTCCAGTAAGAGTCAAGTCCCTAATGATCATTATTATTGTTAAGACTACAAGTAACAGTTTGAGACCTCGTAGTCAGAAGCGAAGTCATCACATACAATGTAGTGAAACCACATTAAAGTCACCCAGTTCTAGCCCTGGAGTCCCAGTCACATTGAGCTCTTTGGGTCGAACTTCTCTCCTTGAGAGATTCTTGCGGAATTTATAGTGTCGGCAGGATTTTGCTCACCAACTCCGAAGATTTCTGGTCAGACATGAGGCCATTGGTTCAGGAAGGAGGATCGGCGGGAGTCGAGCAGTCCAAAATCTCTACAGGATGGAGAAAAGTCCAGAAGAAGGGGGTCGATCCGTTTGTGTGAAATGTGAACAGCTAACATCTTAGAAGTCACAAAGCTGTGCTACAACTAAAAATTCACAGATATGATCAAAATTTCACTAGAAAAAGTGGGCGTGAGAGTGCAAGTGAAAGATGGAAATGCCTTCATATCAGAACTTTTGTTTTCGAAGTATGCCACTGGATGTTGAAGTCACATTTGATTTCGGAGGATTATTTAAAAATTTACATACTCGCACTTGATTTCCACGAACTTTCAGGATATTCGAATTCCACTGCAAGCAGAAAGAGCGATGGAGGGACTCGACAACAAGCAGCCGCTCAAATTTAGGCATTCCTACATAGCTCACAGATGGCATTCCTGCACGGAATCAAGATTGGTAGATTCTTAGAAGTCGACACAGAAATGAACTAACCCCTAAAAAAGTTGAGGTAGGTACTGAGGATGAACTTCATCAAAAATTAAACGGGTGGAAAATCCATCAAATAGAGGGCATTCAGTCTTGTCGAGTTAGTCATACCCCACAGAGCCCTGGTGCTGACGCCATCAGCGTGAAGTTGGGGCAGGATTATTCTCCTCCATCATGAACTCACCAAGCGTCTTTACCGTAAATATGGCAATTATTTCTCGGCGACGGCGCCAACACTAACCTGATGCCCGATGATGCCGGCATGCCGATACATTCAGCCACCAAAATCAATGATTCCCTATGAATACATAGAAATACAACCATAATAGTAAAAAAGTGTTGAGTGTTGGACAGGGAAGGTGTGATTTGGATGCAATACCAACTACTACTACTCTTTTTCACTGAAGCAAATTTTCCAGTACAATCACTGGTGTGACCGCTCATCGAGCCTTGACGTAAACAAAATATGAAGCTACATAAAATTGCAGATGGATGGACCTCAGAAGATTGAAGTGGGGATAGACCGACCGCACAGCACCCCTGTATGAAGTGCTATTCAGCGCATAAAGTAAGACAGACCGCTCCCAAGAGGGAAAAATGAGGATCGGTGGACGCCGAACGCCTTCAAGCCTTCGCTCCTCAAGTTTGTCTTCGATCGTGAAATCAACATCATAAATAAACTCGGTCACTGCCAAGACTCTGTCATCCCCAACAGCAGATCTCCACCCTACCTTCATGGCTGAGGCACCCCCATCTCCACGTTGATGTATCTTACACAAAGAAATGCTGTAGATGAAATCCACGCTGAAATCCCAAGAAACCCATTTAAGTCGGTGTTGTGCCCACGAAGACCTTCTGTGTACAAGAACATTCTGGATTTTGGAGAAACATCCACGATGTCTACATGGAGTGTGAAAAGTCAATCAGTAAGATAGATCTACTGAAACATGGGAAACCTAAAAGTTCCAAGAGATCCAGCCGGAAGTATTCTTCATAGGTGGGCGGCTACGTCGCAAAAACAACTCGACAAAGTTTGAAAGATCCTTCAATAATCTGTCGGAGCCCTCCGACAGGGAACCAGAGTGAATCTTCTCAGAAACGCCATAAGGCAATGTGATAGAAGCAGAGGAAAACAGGAAGTTGTTGTAAGCTGATGATATTTAGTGTATTCTCAATAACATCATTTGGTTCTAATTTTTATAATCTGTTGTGGCAGAGTTCATGAATGGTTTCCGCATTCAGCAAGAAGGCAGAGACCACCATAGAATCTTAAACAGAAGTCTAGAGCAATGTGAGGATTACTGTTAAGAATCGAAGGGAGGGCTCAAAACCAGACTCCGCGGGCAGTGATATTTTACGATTGAAAAGCAGACTGTGAGAGTCCAAAAAGTGGAAAACAATTCAGAAAATTGTGAAACGAGACATCATCTGTTTGTGACATGGTGTAAAGCTACGGCTGCGGATAAAGTGAGCCTAACAGTCGCAAAAG